CCTGCAGCTCCCCCAACCCCCGGCATCCCGGGCGGCTTTTTGTACCGCGGAGCCCAGTAAGTGCAATAATTACCCGTGTGGCTCCAGGGTTGCAAAATGAACAAAGGCCAAGATTTTCTTTTTTTTTTTTTTTCCCCCCTCCTTTGCAGGGCTGCTCCCCTCGCCCTGGGCGGCTTTGACATTGATCTGAAGATCGCCATCTTGTGGTAAAGCAGCCCCTAAACCACGGCCGCCGTCCGTCCGCCTGCCTGCCCGCCGGGGCCCCGCGGCAGGACGGAGGGCGGGCGGACTGACGGACGGACGGCGGCTGCGGCGGTGGAGGGCAGTGATCGCTCACCTCCCAGTGTACAAACCTCTGGGCGAACCTCCGCTGCCTTTATAGTGATGCATTTTGTACAGGCGAGCGGACAAGTCACGGACAGTTTTTATGGCCACGATGTCGCAGCAACACAGAGGATGCGATTTTATTGGGCTAGGAAATCCAAACCCCGACCACAGAAACTCCATGCTTTAGATGTCTCTGGGATTGGCTCTGAATACCAGTTAATTTTTAACCAGGAAAGGAAGCTCGCAGACTTAACTTTCATTGCCATTCAGCTCTCCATCCGTCCCTCTGTCCCTATCCCACTGTCTGTTCATCCATCTGTCTGTCTCCTTTTAACTGGCATTTCCCCTTGCATACCGGTCAAACAAACAAAGTCCCGTCTTTTCCCCCTCACTTTTCAACATTCCCCTTGGGCAAACGTTGTCTGGCTGGGGGACGGTGGTCAACAAAGGCCCAAAGTCAGTAAGTCCTTCACCTCAAGGTTATGGGTGATGTCCAAGCAATACAGAAGTTCAAAGCCAGTAAACAACAGGAAAACAGAATGTGCTTTCTTCTCCTGACTAGGATTAGGGTCAGTATTAAAGATTCAAACACTCTTCCCAAAACACATTTCTACCTCAGCTATTGTTTGGGGGTTTGTGTCCCCTCCTCCCCCCAACTTTCTCCCTCCAGCCCTCCTTCCCCCTTTCCCTGCCGCCCGCCTCAGTCCGCCCCCTTCTTGCCGTGGAGATCAAGGACAATTTCAAACAGTCCATTTCCACCACACTGCATGTGGATTTTTTTCCCCTCAAAGACAAAAATTTTCTCAGGGCTCTCAGCTTCTGGCCACATCCATCGGCTGTCTTGGACCTTCTTTTTGGTGCTGGCTTATAAAATGTGTCCCAAATGCTACTGACAAACATTGTCCTGGACACACGTGGTGGGGAGCAAGCAGCGATGGCACATCAAACCTCAAGCATAGGACCTTGCCCTACCAGCATTGGCAGGATAAGGTAAAGGCCTAACACGTAGCGAGCTACGAACACACTTAATTTTCCTTTTCCTGTGACCCACTGAAACGGTGCTCGAACAAGCCTAGGTTCACTTGTTAACTCCAGAGTAGAAAATTTAATGACCAAGTTCACTAAAGAAGAGTAATTCGCCCCAAATGACTGAACAAGGTCATGAGGAATTTCGGGTCCCAGAGTTACACCAGATAAAAGAACATGTAGTAATATAACACCAGAGTAAAAATGTAAAGTTTCCATTTTTTTTTATTTTCCTTGTGCGCTGTTCCACTGTATACATGCAACCAAATACTTTCGCATATTAAAAGAAAACTGTATATACATATAGATGATACATATTGAAAACAGTGACATCATATAAAGATATTGCATTTTGTGAACTGTGACGAAGAAATTACATCCATTTGATAAATTTATTAATCAAAAAACATTCTTATCATCACTTTGTTGCACATGTAAAGAAATCCCACACCCTTTAGCCCCAAAGGAACAATTAAAAAAAAACAAACCAAACCAAACCAAACCAAAAAAACTAACCAAGGGGGAAAATTATTTGAACAAAATAGGTCATGGCTTCTTTTATTTATTATTTACAAGTCTTGTAAAACACCGTTCCTGTATGAAATATACATTCAGATATTCTCAACAGCAAATTACCTTAACGATAGAACACTGTATCCTTTGTAAACTGATATAGAATTTTAAATATTTTCCTTTTTTTTTCTCTTTTTTTTTTTAAATTGCATTTTTTCACGCTTTGGTTCCTGCAGGGAAATATATATATTTATAGATATTTAAAATAAGTCCGAACAACTCTCCATTCTTTGCATATGTCGACTGAGCGACAAAGTAGAGCTCATGACATTTAAAGTAGACAACGACAAAATTACCATATCTACATTGTTTGGCTTCTGTTTAAACTCCTCACTAATCACCTTTAAACGAACATGTGATCAAGTTATTTTAATGATCCAATGTTAGTGCATTGCACAACTCCAAGTTTCAATTAAGTGTTGTGTGGTATTTGCTAAACTGTCGTTCTCCACAGGTATTTCCTGAAGAAAGTTTGTGAGCCAGAAGCCAGAAGGTTAGTTTGCTTTATGGAGTTATTTCTTCTAAAACGCTGAAATTCACACTTTTTGCCGTTTTATTTTTAGTATTAAATATGATTTGTCTCTGAAAAGATGGCAACGCATAGAGTGTTGTCATAAATAAAACGAGAGCTAATTAAAATTTGCTAATTTTATTTTTAGTGATTGTTACTTTACAATATATGGCGAATTTGTACCTGATTTTAAAAAGTAAATCATTAAGTAATTCATTTAGTTCTTTTTCTTCCCTCACCCCCATCCCACACTCCCAAAGGAAACACTATTATAACCATCACTACATCCATATTACAACTAGTCGCGGTTGGCCCCGGGAAGGTGTAGACATGACATCCCTCCTTCTTTTAATTCTCTATGTGTGTGTGTGTGTGTCCTTAAACTCTCATTTCAAATCAGTGGGCAATGGAACACTGCCTCTAACCCAGACATTTTCTGCTAAGGAAGAACAAAAGGTTATTTCTCTGAGTTTATATTCTGCAGTGGTCCTGGTTGGGTGAGCTCGACCTAGCAGTCTCCAGACAGCTGTTTCACAGCAGCACAGGGTCTAGAAAGAGCAGAGGGTGGGAGAGTCCAGGGACAGAGGGGTACCGTCCCCGCCTGTGGCTGCCGAAAGTGGTGGCAGGGTGAGCCGCAGCGCCTGGGAAGGTAAGAGGTATGGATTTTGCACTCAGAGGTGACGTGCACATTTAGAAATGGATCCCATGTGTGTCAAAATCAAATCGATTCCAGTTGATATGTAAATATATATATGAAAAATCATCATTGCAGTTCCAGACTAGGCTTACATGTGTGTAAAGCCTTGGATTCTTTTAGTCCTATCAGATACACACCTCCTTCCTCCACATAACCCCGTGGCTTGACCTTGTCAAGGGCGAAATCTGAATTTAATCTCGTCTTGAAAAACACTATGAGTTTTAAAGTAGTGGATTAGCTGAGTAATATTGTAATCGGTCCCTGTTAATTTTTTTTTCTTTCATTCTTCTGTTCTGAAACCATATTTTGACTTGGCGGTCGGTCAGATTGAGCATTCGGGAGAGCTGGAGGCGTTTCTCTTTGTTTATGTAGACACTGAAGAAGAATTCCCTTTCTAACTCTCTAATCTGATATTTGGTGTATGGGCATCTCTTTTTGCGCGTACGTTGTCCACCTGTGGAGTGAAAAAAGGCAGAAACATTTGAGACCCGGCGGTGGCCGGCAGCAGAGGCTGAGGAGCGATGGGGGAATACTCAGGCAAAACACATTAATATGGAAAAGATGCGTTTTGCCCCCTCCAGGGCTGGTGTTGGCAGGTCCGAGGCTTGGCGCCAGCCCTTCGCCTTGGCCAGTGCGTGCAGCCCGGGACCGGGACCCCCCGGCTCCTGCAGCGCCGCGGCCCCGGGCAGCGTGCAGGGCGAAACCCCCGCCGAGACGCGGGAATCAGCCTCGCTTCCTCCGCGGGGAGGGCGGCCAGAGGAAGAGGTGGTGGCGGGGGGTTCCTGCGGGTTTCACGAGCCGGAGGAAAGCCTTTGTAGAGTGCTCCGCCGGGCGCCACCACGCACGCGGAGCTGCCCAGGGAGCGGCCATCACCTGGCTGCCTGCAGCGGGCAGCGCTGCATCGGGAGGGGAGACCCCGCGCCCAGCCCTCCCCGAGCCCGTATCCGCTTCTGTCTCGCCTTCGTTCCCTGCCTTAATCCTGTCTCTGTGTCCCGAGCAGAGGAAAAGCTCCTGAGCCCAAGGCTGAGGCGTCTCCTTCTCCCCTCAGCAGGCTATTTTCAAGCACGAGGTATTCTCCTCTCGATTAGCCATTACGGTTTTAAAGTTCATTAAGCAGAATATAAAAGGTTTCAAGGTTCAGGAACTCTTTACATTAAATGTAGCTGCTATCCCTTTAAAAACTTCCTTTTCTGGTACAGTTCATTGTCGAGGTATTTTTTCTGCCGTCTGTATACTAGCTTTGCCTTTTAAAAAGCCCACATAAAAAAATCAGACTTTGACAGATTGAATAACAATTGTAAGTAACAAACTGTTGGACAGGAGGCAACACGTAATTGCCACAGTGCCTTACTAAAATGGCTTCCTTTAGACAAAAAGGCCAGCTTTAGGTTAATTTGCTTTTTTAAATATATTGCTACAGTTCAGGCGGCTACTTTATCTGTTAAACGCTATTCTAGTGCAATCGTTAAAACGGTGAAGGCTTTGAATTCAGTTCCTAACTAGACTTCTGGTGCAACACATGGCTTTTATAAAATCACTGGATTACATTGATATCAAAGGAGTCAGGATCTCCTTTTTTTTTTTTTGCCGAATTTACAGGCACCAAACGAACGTTATTATATTTCGAGAGTTGACCACGAAACTCTTTTTATTATTAATATTTTAAAAAAGGGGAAAAAATGGAAAAAAAGGAGAAGGAGAAAGAAAAAAATTTTTAGGCATCCATTGCCCGGTGGGTATTTCACGGCCAATTTCAGCACTAAACACGTGATCTCGCCTTTTATAACAAAGTTTTGTTGGGGGAAATCTAAAGGCCCTTCATAAACCTTATATGCTTATAAAACAGCATATAAAAATTTAACAGCGGCGGTGCGCTAGATTTCAAGCTGCCTTTCCTAAAAGCGCTCCGGCGCTGCCTTTATACGTACTGGAACTGCCGGATTTCTCCTCATTGTTGCCGGAAGATGACTCGGGGCTGCTGCTGCTCTCCGGCCGCCTCCGCCTCTCCTTCTCCGCCGCCGCCGCCGCCGCCCTGCCGCAGCCGCCCTCCGAACTTGAAGTTGCCGCCGCCGCCGCCCCGGCGGCCGCGGGCGCCTTCTCGCCACTCTTGTCTACCGAGTAGTCCGCCGAGGCCAGGTTTTCCGCTGTGCCATAAGCCGTCTCGAAAAACTGGTCGAAAGCCTGGGGTAGGACCCCGTTCCTGCCCACAGTGCTATAGAAATTGGAGGAGACGTTGGTGCTGGGGTGGTAGACGTTAGCTGTGTTTTTGCCGAACATCTCGCCCATGCTAGCAGTGTTGGTGGCAGGCAGGCAGTCTCTGTGCATGATCTCCTCTGCGGAGTAGCAGTGGGGCAGATTGTTCCTGGGGTGCCATTTACTGGAGGGATCAATGGCATATTCCCTGAAGGTAACTTCTCTCACAGGTTGGACCTGGGGTAGGTTGGAGGAGTAGGAGTATGTCATAGGGCGAGAAGACGGGGTTTGGGGCAAAAAAGAAGGGAGGCTGGAAAAATCAGGACCCGAGACGTAGTAAGTACAACTTGGCAAATACATGTTAGAGGAACAAGGAACACGCTCATCAAAATCCATCATTAGGGCTACCTCGGCTTCTCCGCATTAGCTGAGCTTAACATGATTCTCTAACGCAGCTGCCCCTTTGAAGCGGATCCGTGAAGTAAGAGATGGGGAGACGTAAGCTGACGTGGAGAGCTCTCCCGGCGGCGGCAGGGAGGTGCGGTCACGTGGCCCGACGTTGACATTGACGAGCGGCGGGCCCGGGCCCCGCTCCCTTTGTGGCCGTCGCGGGGGAAAGCAACAGCTCGTCGCCAGCTCCCAGGGGCGAGCCGAGCGCAGGTTGGCCGGGGGGGAGCCCTGGGGGACACACAGCCGCCCTGCCACTGCCCCAGACATAGCCGCCCGGCCCCTGGCACCCTCTGGCTCTGGAGCAGAGAGGCTTATCAATTCCCCCCGGGGTTAGGTGAGACCTTTCTGTTTGTTTGTGGGCTTGCTGGGGCGTTCGGCGGCTCGCTGGAAGGCTCTGAGAAGGAGGGCACCGTAGAGATGCACGCACGGTTTCTTCTGGAAAGCTACTTCCGAGGAGGAAACGCTCCTGAAGAAAACGTCCTTTTTTTTTTTTCTTTTTTTTTTTTCCTTTTTTTGGGGGGTTAGGTTTGGGCTTTACCCCACCCCCCATCCAAAAAAAAAAAAAAAAAAGAAAAAAAAAAAGAAAGAAAAAGTCCTCACCCTTCATGGTTTTTCTGGAAACCTTAATAGGAAGAATGTGCCAGGGTCAAGTCTTTACTAATTTTCATGGTGAATAGATTACATGCTTGCATTCATGTTCACTTCCGAAGCGCTTAGTGTCTTCCTTCCCTTACTTACATATTAACCTCAAATACCCCGCGTGGCTTCAGCCAAGCTGTACTGGAGGTAATTAACAATACCAGGTTCCCAGGACGCAGGTTCTCCCTCCTCACCCCCTTCAAATCGTCCCCTGCCTCATTCGCAAAGCCAGAAAACCAGAAAGTCCTTTAAAGTGCAGACCACGGACCTAAAGACTGTTTGCTGATCTCTCCGTCTCAACTTTGCCGCTAAATACTTGGAAAACCAGTGGATATTGGGCTATCCCGGCTTGACAAATACTCTGAGTGTAATTGTCAGAAGACTAGTTAAAATTATTTGACATACTGTTAACCCCCAGAAACAAACTCGCCGTACCGACATACTTTCCATTCAGCTTCGTACCGTCGCTGAAGGCTGAGACCCAGGGAGACCTATTTCAAAAACATGGTTAAACTTTTACTATTGTTGCATGAAAGGGACGATATAGAAAGCGGATTGTACAGGGCAGAGACCAAAAAGTACTTCTCTGCCAAAAAAAATGCACACCCCACCGAACGAGCAGAGCCAAAGAAAACAGAGGAATACGCCAAAGAATACAGCACCTTTTGAGGCACGGACATCCCTAAGCTCTCGGAAAAAATATTTTTTTGCTATTCTGATGCTCGATTTCAGAAAAGAAATATTTGGGTTCCGGGTGGATTTCATCAAAATAGAAAAACAGAACGGCAAAAGGCTATTGTGAAGTCAGTGCTCTTAGGAAATTAGACGTAGTTCAAGATCCATGCCCTCGTGGACTTGGGAGTCTAGTGGAAGGGAAACGAAAATATTGGGGAAATAATATTTGTATTTTTCCCCCTCTTCCTCTACAGTGTTGTGGGAGTATTTATGTATCCGGAGAAAGTTCTCCAGTAAATTCTGGAGATCTTCGGTATTTAAATGTCAACATCGATTTGTTTATTTATTGCTTAGTTTATCGTAACCGACTCAATAACAAATCTAATCATGTTGTGCAGAGAGAAAATATTCTCATTATGTATTTCCCCTACATTACAGTTAACTATTGCGTTTGAATTCAAGCTGTAAATTCAATATTATCAAGTAATTACTTTGTAGTGGAGTAAACTAATTTATTAGCATTAATGTTTATATGCCTTTTTCTTATTTTACAAGGGTTACCGTTCACAAATCAAATGCTCTGGACGTATCCCTGTAATGAACTCTTTATTTTGGTTTTCTGCAAGAACTTCTTATGCTTACTGCATGTCTATGATCTGAACTTGGAATTAATGAATTAATCTTCCAGCTTGACACATTTGCTAGAAGGTGAATGGAAAGAGATCGCATATCGTCAAAACCGCTAGCAGAACACTGCAATGTCGTTCAGGGATTGTAAAAGGGTTTGGGGGTTTTCCCTCTCTCTCCCTCTTTTCTTTCTTTCTTTCTTTCTTTCTTTCTTTCTTTCTTTCTTTCTTTCTTTCTTTCTTTTTTCTTTCTTTTTCTTTTTAGTTGAGGTGGGGAGGGTTGTGCCAGAGCTCTGGTTAGGTTTTTCCTTAACGCCGTAATTTTGCTGGAATTTACTTTCCCCCTGGTTTTTGCGGGGGAGGTGGGAGGGAAGGGTGGGTTGGGGGGTCGGAAGCCCTCTTTTGGTCTCCGAACGTTGGTTATTTCCCCTGTATACCCTCACCGTTCAATTCTGTCGATGAAAAACCTCTCCTCACACTCTGCATACACGCAGACACCCCTCCCTTCGAACAAAAAGGAATGTATAAGGATTTCAGTGACTTTGAGATAACAAAGGCGCCACCATTGCCGAGCCGAGCCCCGCCTCTGTGTGATGGCAAACAAATTCTTGCACTTGTATTAGGGTTTTTAAGGCTATAATTGAACACGGCGCGTCTAGGAGAACCGAAAACAGTTCTAGACTGACCTGAGGTTTTATAGCACTTTGGCAGTCAACTTCAGCTTGTGTCAGAGCAGACATGACAAAGCTACCCAATGCTTAATCGCAGGACGCCACCTCCTCGGACTCAGGGCAGCCCCCCTCTCGCATTTCAATAAATTTCAAACCTTGGGGAGCAGAGCTGGCACAGGTTTGTATGGGGCTCTTTCCCGCTCCTCTCTGCAGCCGGGGCTGCGGCGCCGTGCGAGGGTCCGCAGTGCCAGAGGTCGGGGCTGCCTCTGGGAAACAAAGGGAAATTAAGGCAAGAAGGGCGAGAAGGCAACTGGAAGTAGGAGTGTGTGTGTGCGGGTGTGTGTGTGTCTGGGCATATATATGCTTGCACAGCATGCACACGTGCAGCCCCGATGCCTGCTTTTGAATCGCTCGAACTCTCTCCCCCCACCTCTCCAAACCAAGCAGCCTCGTTCTTCAAGTGGGTTTGCAACGCAGGAGGACCCCAAAACGCCTCCGAGTTCCGCCTGCACAACAAGCGGGAAGGGTAATGGGGAAGTCTAAGAGGTGCACAGCTCGTCTGGGAGCGAGTAGACACCCAAGGCACAGACTGTTCTCTGCTTTATTTGCTGTTAAGTGAAACAGAGATAATGTGCGCTTAAAGCACCGGAATGTGTGGGTAATTGCAGGGAGCCTGCTGTTAAGTTGCTGTGTTCAGCACAATTATCAATGTTGATTATTTGGTCTAATGTTGAATTGCTCTTTTAATACAGTAATTGGGACTTCCGCGTTGAGGAAGGGGGGAAACCGTGCCTTCCCCTCTCTAACCTCATTGAGAACAACATAAACAAAGTCAGGCATTTCGTTTGGAGAAACAAAATGCATTCGTTACGCCTTCCCATGTATTTCGTCCGGATTAGAGAGGGTAAAACCGCTCTGAAATTGGGACCTCTGCTGCAGGACGGTTTTGCAAAGGAGAAGCGTGGCCAAGAGGTGGGGAGACTGTTACCCATAGCTAAGCTAAACAAAGAGAGGAAGAAAAGCTACATCTCTTCTTTGGAGGAATATAAACAGAACTAGGACGCCTCGATAGCCTAGCTTTTACATATACAGATGGCGTGCAAAGGGAACTTTTTAATTCACTGCCGCTTCTCCAAAAGGTCAAGTTGTACTGTATCTAAAATTGTTGTCCTTTGGTACACGGTTTTGCTTGAAAAATATTTGAAGTCGACTATTTACCTTGCCAGTAGGGTGGGTGTCTCTAATTAACAGGAGAAACGTGTGCTAGAAGGAATTTGCGTCAAGAGTAGCTAATTAAAGTATTACAGGATTGCTGGCTTCAATCTCTGCTCCTCTCGCGTAGGAAGGGTGAGGGGTGTTACGACTCGAGCACGAGAAAATAACTCAGAAATTGGGACGGCGTTTTGTAAAATTGCGGGTTGATTACAGTCTACAAAGGCTTACTACAAAAACGTGGCACTAGGGAATTCACAACGTTGTTACCAACGAAAAGTGCACCCCCTTCCCACCTTTACCAATGAAAATAGGGGCACAAGGCGATAATTCGTTACAAAATTTACCAGGAACACAGCTTCAGAAAAACGCGCTTCTTATTTGGATTTTAAATATTTCGGGGTCAGAAGTTTTTAAAAGGTGTCTCTTTTCTGTTTCCTGTTTTGTCTGTTATGGAAAGGAACTATACATAGCCATCTTTTTTTTTTTTTTTAAACTAAATATGCAATAGAACGTAGTGCTACAATAGTTACCTAAATAATTTAAATAATAGGTGATTTATATATATATATATATATCAGCGAGATGGAAGCCCAGCGCTGTGACATGGGACCGACTATTTATTATCCAAAACCTGAAGCGGTATGGTTGTGGTTTTGCTAGGGAACTGCAGAATACCTGTAAAGAGAATGAGTTGATGTAAACAGGATTCAAGTCGATGTTATTCTGACTTTTTTTTTTTTTTTAACGAACGCATTACATTATTTCAGAGGTTTGAACACCCCGAAAGGCTGTAGAATATTTTAAATTAATTTTAATATCAGTTACCGAAATCCTTTCGTTTCCTCTATCACCCTCTCTGTCTTTTTAAGTCGCTGAGGTGGAAAAGCTTGAGAGGGTGGTTGTTAGTTGTTTTTTTTTTCTACCAAACCTCCAGTCTATTTTGAATATTAGGATTAAACGACTACGAACCTACAGAGATCTACCCGTTGTTGGCGACTAATCATGATATTTTGCTCATCAGAGCAAAAAGGGCCCTCTCCGAGGGCTCTCTTTGAAGGCAGCCTGACTCTGGTATCTGCAACAAGCCGAAATATAGCGGGCTTTTTTCAAGAGAAGAAGCTCCTCACCCCCCGGTTCCCCAGCCCTGCGTCCCCGGGTTCCAGGGCACTGAACCCCTCTAAAATGTTGTTTATATTTACTGCTCGGAGCTTGCTCCTGAAAAACAATAGTGGCAGGTTTG